TATTTGCTGTTCTTGTCCACACATTTTTTTCAGATAGCCTTGAAATACCATTTGCTAAAAGTTTAGAAAAATATTCCCTTGGGATTTTGATGGTTGATTACCTTACAGCTATAAATAAGCTGGGAATAATTGATGTCTTAACATTCAGTCTTCTCAGCCATGAATGACTATGTCTGCACATTTATTCAAGCCTCTCATGTATCTCAACCCAATTTTACACTTTATACAGGCCTTGCATTTTTCTTTCTTTCCAACTCCCTGAAGAACAGCAAGCCTGAAAGCCCTAAATATTACAATATTTGTATCAGAAAATATGATTGATAATTTATTACATGTTTTCATATTGTTACTATAGAAATCATTTGAGTAAAAGCTTTTCCTTCTACACTATAAAAAGTTGAAATGCATACAGAAATCAATACAAATTTAGGTGATTTCAAAAAAGAAATTGGTAGTAGAATACATGGTTATTCACCCCAAATAGGACTGTTAAAAGATGTGATTCTTATTTCCTTCAAAGCAGATACTATGAAGACAAAACGTCAAACTTAATGTGTTTAATTTAGTTGGGGGGTGACAAATGAAAATTAAAATAATTTAAAAGTGGGCAAAGCTGGACTAAAAAAGTAAAGAACTCCCACATATTTTATAATTAGATCAATGCTGCCAACACTGCAGCCACCAGCCACATGTGGCCACTTGAAATGTGGCTAGTCTGAATGAATTGAGGTGCTGTAAGCATAAAATGCACAACAAATTTCAAGGATCTAGTACACAATTTAAAATGTCTCATTAATATTCTTCTTTTAATTTTAATTGCATTTTGAAAACGTATTTTGGATATATTAGGTTAAATAAAATGTACTATTAAAATTAATTAATTTTGCTATGTCATTTTTTAATTTGGACACTAGATAATTTAAAATTACATATGTGGCTTGCATTATATTCCTATTGTACAGCACCACACTAAACTGTTTTCTAAAATTAGCTGGTACTGATTACTATTCATTCTGGGTCTCAAAATGCCCCCAAATAATATTAATTAAGCTTTCTTGATTTTCATCTTTTATCCATTAAAATATAAATTATGCCTTTGGCTTGAAAGTTCGAGATTTGGTAAAAGTCAATGATTATACAATGTATCTCCACTCTGAAATATTTTGGAAATGTTCAGGAAATATAAAGCATATACATGAAGCACGTGTAAGACAGACAGAGACAGAAAGAGAAAGAGGGAGAGGAAAGAGAGAACAATTTTATAAGACAATAAAAAATATTTGGTGTCCTAAGGTCACAAACAATTTCAAAATCACTAAATAGTAAAAGTGATAATACTAAATAGTATTATCTTCTTCTTAATCATTGAGGAGGAATTTATTAGTAATATGATAAACTAATTATAAGAGGCATTTAAAAGGATAAAGAGTTTTTTGGCAAGTTTCATGATTAAGACATTTTGCAATTCATTGTCAGATTTTAAAATTTGCTTAATCATTAAAAAGGAAAATCTTGTAATGCTTTATGCCTATTATATCTTGCTATTAAAAATGCTCAGAGCATTTATGTGTAATGTAACTCTTCTGTGACACAGAACACTTTCTACTTTAGACTGCAAACCTCCTTGAATGTTTGACAGTTTTGTCCTCTTGATGCACTGTATTCCAGCACTCCCTCCCTTTTCCAAACACAAGACCACAGCAGGCCATCAATTACTATTTACTAAGTGAAGCAGTGAATGACTCAATAGATGAGTAAGTGATTATGGTCCCCTTGGCCCTGAACCATACCTCTCACCTTTTCATGAAAAGATCAACCAGATAATGCCCAAAGAATTCCAATTGGGTATCTAAATATATATGTGTGATAGTTTAAAGACATTGGTGTCCTTTCAAAATGCATCCAAATTTCTTAGGTATGTAGAAAAAAAAAAAAAACATAAAATGCCAGTAATGCTATACTAAGTCCTTAATTTTATTCAACATTTCAATGGGTTTCCTCTTAAATAATAACACGGAAAATTTTTTGCACTAGGATACTTTTTTCAATTCAACAAAATAAAATTGAATACTGCCTTACACTTTATTATGTTAACATAAAATTGAAGCTTTAAACCCTCTATTTTTATTTTATTTAATCAACTAAGTCTAAAATATATTACTTCTTCAAAAATTGAAAATATTATACCCAAGTATCATAAAATAAATGCACACATAATATAGTATATCTGAATTTGTGCATCATTTAAATGTGTCATGTATAGTGAAAGATACACATAACATTTATGTTTTTATCTTCCTTGTCTGCTAGGAATTATTTCCAGACATACTATTTTACATCAGATCTTCATCAACAGTTTTCCAGTTGCAAGGACCACTGTCTATATGTATTTCCCAGCAGTATTAGAGACAAGGATGTAATTTTGCTTGACTTGTGTAACCCTCTGAGGACTATGCAACTGCATTTCAAGAAATATTAAATAATGTCATTCAAAAGGTGATCTTCAAGATGCATCAGTAATGTGTGTGCAATGCATATATGTGTATATATGTGTGTGAGTATGTGTGTAACAGAAGGGACTTGAAAAACAGCTCTGTATTTTGGGGTGCTGCTGATGCTCACTATGTGAATAATAGGCTTTTTTCCCAGACGCTCAGATATTTTGCCAAAATGTGCTAAAACAAAATCACTTAGAGAATATGAGCTAGTCTAGAGATTAATAAAACTTCCAACTTCACAGGCTTCCACAAATGATGAGATGAAAACAGATAGTTTTCGGCCATCAAATATTTCAATACTTCACTCTGTTTCTATGACATATTTATCCCATACGAAAGATTTGCTAAAGGAGTTGTAATGGTCTTCTGGGACAGGAAGAATAAGGTTTCTGGAGAAAATGTTAAATTAATTTTGATGGTGATGCAAAGTTAAGGAAGGGTTGTTAAGGGATGGCTTGCTGCCACAGGGTGGGGTTTTGTTTTGGTATCCTTTTAGAGCCTGCAGGTGTTTGGCACCAGTTAAAATCAGGGCCAGCTGTGATATTTCAATAGTCCTGATATTTCCCTCCCAATAGTTCTCAGAAGTGATGCTTCAGGGTGATGTCTTACACCTGACATATTCAACTTGTGTGGTACAAATGTGAAGACTCCGTTAAATAACACTAGTTTTGTGACACCCTTTGCCCTCTCTTCCATACTCTCAGGTCATAGCATCAAGGACAGAGAAAAACACTAATCAGAAGCTCCAATCATTCATATTTTATTTTTTAATTGACCAGTTTGATCAAAGATGGCAACAGGCTAGAATCACCAAACATACAGTCTCAAGCGAAATACTAAAAGTAGGGTGGTGCATTCTCTTTCGATTCTCAATGTCAATAATGAAGCTTTTAAACCCTCTCAGTGGTGAGAGCCGTACCTATTTTTGCGGGAATTTAAATAGTTTCTATTAAAAGCTGCATTTTCTTTTAAGTTTGTTTGGGTTGGAAACCCTCAAACCACAATGTATTTCATGCACATGTTCCCAAGGGTATGTTAAATAGGACCATACTGAGGTCATCTAGTAAGTTTTTGAAACTTTTTAAGAATTCCTTTAATGTACTGCACAATCTTGGCCTGATTAAAAGAAGATATTTTAAGAAAACACTTGGAGAAATGACTGGCTATTAAAATCTATATGCAGATAATCTATCCTATACCTGTATAATACACAGAGACTTCCAGAGATAATTTGTCACTGAGGGAAAAAAACAATAAAGCTATAACTTTAAGGGCTCTGAATCAAAACCTCTCAGAACTATCAGTAAAGGCAGACCAAAATCCCCTACAATACTCTTGATTGACTTCACAGGGGATGTCTGTAGGATCACTTTAACTGAGCGAAGGTCTGTAGCATATAATCAGAGGATAAAAGGTAGACAACCTTCTATCTATCCAAGAAAAGAAATATCATCTGTTGTTTCAGTTGAGTCAAAAAATCAAGTTTTCTCAGACTATGAGGCTACGATGAAAATGTTAGGTTAGTAATAGTTTCTACTAGCAAGTAAATTTTTGTCTACCAAGTTCAAATTACAGATGAAATGTAAATGGTCCACTTGATAAGTAGGCACACAAAATTCTCTCCTGTTCCTTAAGGATTCCATTCCTGTTTTTTTGTTGTTGTTTTGTTTTGGGGGTTTTTTTAAATTTGTTTTGTTTTATTTTTATTAGACATACCCCATTTCACTTTATCAAAGTCTCCCTTCCTGCGCCATGTTCCAGGCCTTGTACTTCACCCAAAGCAATTTTCAGTTGAACTAGCAGCTGTGCTGGCGCAGCGCACATGGAGAGCGGGCCACAGGCGCCAGGGGTGCGTTCCCACATCTGAACAGAAGTGGCCGGTTCCATGTACCCGGGGCCAAGAAACTCTACAGCTCATCAGAGGGAAAACAAGGGAGGATACCTTAAACGGAAATCATACTTAGAAAAAACTTTTAAGGAAAATGAAAAATAAAAGGATTTTCAGTAATCAGAAAGAAGACTTGATAACTTCTTGGCACAGAGTTTGCAGATATATTTTCATAAAAGGATAAGAGAGTGTGATTTTAAGTTAATGATCCCCATCCTCACAGCTACACTGGATTTGACTCTATCCACTAAACAAAGGTAAATAAAAGAAGGCGGTTTTAAACAAGATTATAACCATAAAGGGCACCGTCATAACCAGTGATACTACTATGCATTGAGTGTTTATTATCTAAACAATATCTTAATACTTTCAACAATATACAGATAAGATCCTATTTCACCATTTAACACTTAAGGAAACTAAAGTCTGGGAAGTTTATAAAACTGCCCACCAATTTTGACTCCATGGTTTTAACTGTTATATTACAATTAGTCCCCTGAGGTCACCAAGGGCTTTCCAACCAATGCTAGAGGTAGAGCTCATCAGCCCCCCTCAGGAGTACACAGGAGCCACTTGATCATTTAGAAAACCTACACTTTCCAGAGTTAACCAACTCATTCATTTGCTGATTCATGCATCAACAAATATTTATTATGTACCTATTTTTTAAGTCAACTTTAAATTTATTTTTTAGAAGGGCAGGGAATATTAAATTTATACTAAATCCCTATCACCAGGTACATAGTAAGTATAGTAAAGGCTTGTTGAATAAACAGATAAACTAAGTAGTCATTTTTAGATGTCATCCTAAGGGTTTTTTTTAAATAATCTATTTTACACATTTTTTAAACTCTCTGATTTTTCCACATTCTACATTCCTTTCAAAATTAAACATTTTATGGAATTCTCTCCAAAAGGGACAAACACTACCGGGCAAAGGGGAAAGATGGTGCCCTTACCTCTTATGTGGAATAGTCCTACTTAACAATTTCCATTGTCATCTTTGCCTATTTTTAAAATGTAATACTAGTACATTACTCTCTAGTCTTTCTAAAAATCCAGATAAATTACATACATATATTTTAGTATGTAAATCCCAAAAAAGAATGAAATTATTTATGAAAGAGAACAACTCTATTCTTGCTACTAGGGTACAACTGTCAATAACTATCACTGTATGATTAAGTATTTTTGATGTTAGAATTGTAACAACTAGAATCCACTTTTTGGTGGTAAAGAGGGCAGTTTGCTGAGACTTTGCAGTAGTATGAAAAGGGTGGTATCCTGGCTTAGTTTATAGCAATGTTTTTCCATTCTGGAAAGTGGGCTAATGACTAAAAATAAGTTATAGACCAATAATAAAAACTTCTTTATAGTTCCAAAAGAGTTGAGATGTAAAGATTAAAGTAATTAAACTGAACTGCAAGAGAAAATTAGGTATGAACATCTTAATTATCCTATATGCCTTCTGAACCAGCCCATAAAGTGAACAATTTTAAGGTAGTAGGTGGGACCTTGAATCTTTGTTTATTAAAGCCTAAAAAATAGGTAACGTTAAAATGTACCCAGTGAGGTTTAAAAATAGTTCTTTGCTTTGGTGCCTTTATCACTGATAAAACACAGATGGAGCAACAGAAATACTGATGGAAAAACTCTTAGGAAACATCTCCAGAGAAATGTACCCTCAAATTAAGGTAAAAGTGATATCCTATACACCTCAATATACAACAGCTTAATACAGTAGTTCAGCCTCATTCAATTAAGAAATGGGAAAACCAGCCCTCTAGTCTACATTCAGGGTGTGCACACTGCTACCTCGTAACAAGGAATCACTAGGCATTAATCACTGATGTTGTGGGATCCCTTTCAGATGAATTCACACCAAGTGGGCATCCTTATCTCAAATACTTATTAACCATAGTTTTATTATGAGCAAAGCCTTGCCATACTCGTAATCTTGGTAGAAAAATAGTATAGATCAGAATTCCTGAATTCATTCACTCTTTTTCCCTCCATAAATATTGTTAACTATTGAATTAAATACATTTCAATTTTCTTGTAAACAGATACTCATGTAAGATAAAGATACCAAAGTTAAAGAGAGCGGTTTTCCAACAAAGTTCACCTCCTTCAAAAGGTGTATTCCATTTTCAATAATCCATTTCAAAGAAAAACCTGCCATTATATAAATATACAGAACTCAAGGAAAAAAACCTATAATTTTGAAATGTTGGAAACTGATAAGATATGTGAATAATCACAGCGAAAGCATCACAGAAAAAGGGAGTCCCTCTACCTTTTGGGATTAATATGTGAATCTGAGACATGGTAAATTGCTTGAAGTAATAAAATCAAAGCTTACTATTTTGACATCACCTAAAAATAATCATTTGAACAATGTTATAAAAGAAATTTTTTTCATGTGACCCATCTTTCTGGGCCCCAAGAAGGAGCCTATTAAGCAATGTACAGCACAAGTAGCTATTCAAGTATAATTTATGCCTCATGAACAATACGCATTAATCAAAGCATATAAAATTATCTCATTTTCAGACTTAAATATGACTGGCTTTGTACATTTTAAGATAGCCATATGATCAGAGGTGGGCTGTAACTATTAAGTTCTCATATTTATTTCTACAAAGAATGATCTCTTAGCACCTAACCCCAACCTCTCAGTTGTGTATATTTCTGTTTTTCAGGAAAAATAAATGCCCTTATCTCAGAAACTTCATGTAGTAGCTGATGAAGAAATACAATAGGTTAAATATGACAGACATGAAAGTATGATTGTAGATAGTAAGTTCTAAACTCTGGTTCTTTTTATTTCAGACCCACAAATAATTTTAATGTAACAGTGAAAAATCCTGTTATGCAACTTAAGCTTAAGATCAATGACTAATGCACTTTTATATAAATCAATCTGGATAGAAAAGAGAGGCAAATTCTTGTGTTGCTAAACTTCAAAAAACAAACCTGGGGTTCTGCAAATACATTCTTCATGTTGTTGATTGGGCCATATGGTACCCCACTGCCTTCAAAGAGATATAACCACTTGCTGGTCAGTTCTTCTTCAAACCTAGGAACAGACAAAAAAGGATGCATTTTTACACTCTAAAGAATGTAATACAACTTCTTTTCTCACGTGGCCCTCTTTCCAAACAACCAATAGTGACAATATATGTTTCTTAGTCTTTCTTTACTTCTTGTTTTGAGAGAAGGTTATTTTCATGAAACAACTTAAGCAGCCCTATAGTGGTGAGAGTAGCCACCCAGGTCCCAGTATTTAAAAATCCACCGTAAGAGATGTAATTCCTCCTATTTCTATCCCTATGTACTCTTTAACAGAGTCCCTTGGAAAAGAGAGGTTGTGTGGAAATGGTATTAATTGAGCTCCAAATGTGGTGTTGAGCAATTTATGAATATAATAACAGTATCATTGCAATTTGAGCACAAAGTCTTGCAAAATGTCTTTGAGGTCTCAGCTATAGTATAATATATCAGGTTAGAGTAGACACTGATATACTAAATTATTCTTCAAAAATAAAATAAACTAATATAGCTGTTTTAAAAGGAAGCTATGTGTAAAATACATAAGAATTAACAGCCAAAACCATTGGCTTAAAAACAGCCTTAGCTATTTATTTATTTGCACCACAATTTACTAATTAGAACAACTCTAGGCATGCAAAGATTGATAATTTCAGTTTAGCCCACAAAACTAAAATTCATCCAAGTCCCTTAAATCTGTTTTGTTTCTATTATAATTTAAAACCGGACTTTGCAGAGAAGCATACTTGATTTCCTTTATTTTCTCTATGAGGTGTTAAGGAAAGGGGAACTAATTCATTAATGAAATTTATTGTTTTATATTTTTTTTTGTTAAGATAGTGAACACATAAACAAAATCTTGGCTCCTTAGGGACAACTCGACACAATCATAGTCTCTAATGTATGAAGGATTTCAGAATTGTTGATTGTTAAAATAGCAAATTATTTTTAGTCAATTAATAATCTAAGTGACCAAAGAGACTTTTTAAAAACATTATTGTCATCAGGTAAAATGTTTTACTAATAGGGAAAAACTCGTGGAATTATAGTAGAATATTGAGTATTCATGGATATCCATACATTTCTCTTATACATAGGTAGAATTAGCCTCAAATCTTCAGACTTCATAGGAAATTATATTACTTCTTTCACCATTTTCAAAAAAAGTATAAAAATATTATCAATACTTGGAGGACACTTCTCTGATCACCATCCAATATATAAAGTAGAAAAAAAGAAATAAAAAGAAAAAATGGAAATAATGTACCCTCTAAAATAGCAGTCCCCAGCCCTTTTGGCAACAGGGACCGGTTTCATGGAAGACGATTTTGGCACAGGGTCAGGGGGTGGGTGGGAAGAGGAGAGGTGAAGTGGGTGAGGCAGAGCTCAGGCGGTGATGTGAGCCATGGGGAGCCGCTGTAAGTACAGATGAAGTTTCACTTGCTCGATGCTCACCTCCTGCTGTGTGGCTCTCAGGTCCTATGTTTCATTGAAGACCATCTTTCCACGGATGGTCGGTGGGAGGGGATGGACATGGGCCGGGGGTGGTGGAGCTCTGCCACTCGGTCCCTACCAAGCCACGGACCGGTAACAGTCTGCGGCCTGGGGGTTGGGAACCACAGCTCTAAACGATAGATACTATTTGAACAATGATGTTCAATCACATAACATTTTACATAAGGATATAATAAATATTTTAATGAAGATAGCACTACATTTCACTAGAAATCTAATCCTATTCACACATTCATTTGCTGAGTGCCCACTATACACAAAGCATTGATTCTTCTTTTTAAATATAACGCCATCCATTTTCTCTCCAATAGATGAATAAAGATTTTTTATTATTCATTTTAATTTCAGCTCAGAATTTAACTATCCCTATTTAGTACAGAATAAAATACTTCACTTCAAAATATTGAAAACAAATTCTTTCATGGGAACACCACAAGGCAAGATTAAATATCTTGCTTCTAATCAATTCTTCACATTGATATTTTCTTTTTGATGACTGTTAAAGTTATCTCCTGGCCAAGACTTCCTAAAATATATATAGATATGTATCATCAGAATGATATATGCTGAAAGAATAAGAGATACTTTGAACCCGGAGTCTTTTCAATCAGGTGTCAATTATTTAAGTTTTCACAAATGGAGTGTTATAATGGTTAGTCCGATAAATTTTCAAGACAAGTGAATTTATCACCACTGGACTCACCCAAGTGGCCTGAAATATCTGCACAGAAAATGCATGTCAATATCCAAATAAACCCATGGCTGCAGGTTAGCCAATAGAAAACTCAGGGGAATAGTTGAAGTTTTAGTATTTATATAAGCTTTTCACCACCGGGCAAAAGAAAGGGATTTATTTCATGTTATGGAAAACAACGGATGCACTTTGGAAATGAGACTAGGGGAAGAGGCAGCCTATGAAGCTGCAATTGTGACCACTGTTTGTGTCTTTGCGTGGGTGTGGGTGTGGAAGGGTTCCTAAATGCCATGAACTCCATCAGTCAGAGACGGAACATCACTGCATTCCACTGCTCCCAGGGGACATATCCATCATTTTCTTCTCAAAATCTATCTCTTGATCTAAATCGGATGTGGAATCCTTTCCTTTTCCTATGCAAAAAAGCTGTAAGCACATGTTTTTATTAACCACAAAAATTCTGCTAAAAAAAATGGAGTTGATCTAAATCACTCAGGGCAATAGATTTCTGAAGCTAAGACAAAAAGGGTGTCCTTAGATCTACCTTACCAAACCTTGAAGCTAGGGCCTCTGCTGGGAAGTTATTTGGAGACTCATAAACAATTCAGACTTACTAAATAAGCCCACATATTTAATTCTATATTTTTGTGAATTTACTTGATTCCGAGAATGAATATTATTAATCGGATAGCATCATTTAGGTAGATGAAACACTGCTGCATAAAGATAGATTGAGCTTAAATGTCTTAACATCAAAATTTAACTTAGGAAACAAACAAAAAGCTCTTCACTTTATAGAATGGATTAAAGTTTCAAATGAGCCAAATCCAAGACCGGAGAAAAACTAAGTGATCCCAGCCATGAAGGTGGGAGTCAAAAATAACTGTAACATTAGCGATAACCAAATCCTGGTTATTAAATTGTTTAGTCTATATTCTGTCAATTTTATCTTCACAACAACACTATAAGCTGAGTTATCCTCATCTGACCAACAGGAAACTCAGGTTTAGAGAAATTAACTTACTCAAATTCATATAGCTTTTAAAGGCAGAGGTCACATTTGAAGCTGAAACTGCTTAACTTTAAAACCACTTTCTAATACTTAATGACTGTAGCAGAATACATTCAAAATCCGTGGTTTCACATATTGTGTGCATTATATATGGTCACAGACAGGTAAAAAAAGGAGCAGAGGTGAAACTGTTCCTTTTTGTACTAATATGTTTCTTCACTTCCATTTTATATACTGCAGTATATGTTTCCTTACATTAAGACTCATTCATCCCTGATGCTTTTAGCGAGAGTTTGTTTTGTGTTAACCATGGAGATTACAACAATAAAAAAGACAGTCCCTGTGTTAAGAGATCATATACTCTAATGGAGAACACAGCTATGGAAACAGATGAATTACAATGCAGGATGCTGAGACAAAGATACGAAGGAACAACTCACAGTTGAAGCACCAAAGAGGGAGGTTTGCACTGGGCCTAGGGAGGTGGGAAAGAGCTCAAAAACGAGGTGACATTTGAGCCAGGTGTTGAAAGATAAGTTAGAATTTTCCATGTGAAAGATGAGAGGAAGGATCATTCAGGCAGAGAGAACAATGTGTACAAAGATCCAGCCTGGAAAGAATCTGAAATCACCTGTGCCCTGAGTGGCAGAAGATAAAACAGGAGAAGGAGGTTAGAACCAGAGTGCAAAGTATCTTGTCTGCTATGCTAGGGATATTGGATTTCCACTGGCAACAAGGAACCCAGAGAGGTCTTTAAGCAGCGGACCGATACACTTAGCACCAATACAGGGAATGGGCTGGTGTAGATAATTCTAGAGATAAAGAAACTTGACAGGAGGCAATATTCTCTCTTCCTCTGGTGCACCTCTAATTTGCCTCTCTATCGATATACTGCGTATTATTATCAATAATAAAGTTCCATATGAAAAAAATGTTTTCTTGACATTTAGTTACTATCCTATTTATCTGTTTTCAATCCAACATTACACCCAAGCCTCTGAAGTCTGACTTGGTCATGAATGCCTTTTCTTACATGGTCTCCAGTGGTCTCCAGTGACCAATGTCAAATCCAATATTCTTTTCACTGTTTTCATCCTACCTACCTGTGTAGTATTTGATGCTGTTTGACTATTCTACCTTTGGGTCCTGTGACAGTACACTTTCTTGGTTTTTGTAATACCTCCTTGGCCATTACTGTTTCTTTTATTAATTCTTTTGATAGTCCTAATATTTTTTGCTCTCTTTCATGCACTTAAGACAGTCTTGTCATCTATATACAGATGACACTCAAATCTATATTTTCATCCCTGCTCTTTCTTTCCGCAGTTCCCTTTTTCTAGTTACCATAGGATAATTCCACTCAGATGCACCATTATCCCCATGAATGTAACATGCCCATGGATGATTTTATGATTTCCATTTCCCCATAAACCTAGTATTCCTCCCTTGCCTGAACTCACACCCTTGGCTAACTCTGAAACTCCTTCCTTTTCATAATTTCTTATACCTTATATATAATTGTCCTGTAGAATCAACTTTTCAAAGTTTAAGTTTTTTCCCTCCATTCCCACTGTAACTATTAGTATCACAGTCCTGGCCCTTCACACTTCACAGTACGACTATGTTAACAGATGGTTAAAAAGGTATTTCTTCCAATCTTCCTCCTTCCAACATGTCACCAATTTTAGATATGTCTCATCTGTTTGACTGTCTGCTTCTCCAGGATCACTACTTTCTTTCACACTAAAGAAATGGACTGTTTATTAACTATTATATTCTCAGAACTTAGAATATAGTTGGCACTCAA